CCGCAGGATGGCACATTACATTACAGTCGACATAACTACAGGGCACTGCAAATTGCAGTCAGAAAATGGGCTTGATTGGTTGTCTCTGTATATAACTCTATCACACCATGCGGGTATTCGCTTTTTCTCCCCTGAATCATACCCTGGAGATAAGAACAGCGCGGAAATTAGTTACTTTAGTGCAAATCTTTTTCTTTCTACAAGCATGTGATAAGTCTGTGAGAAATTAGAGCCACAAACTCAGAGTAACCATTAGATATTAGTAGAGTATATTCAAATCCATATTTTTACCTCCTAGACCTGGCTTATTCTTTTCAAATTTATAAGTCGGCGGGAAGGTGATTAGCGCCTCACGCATTCCTTGGAACACTTTTCCCTCATTCATCTCTGCTCTAAGTTGGTCTTTCTCTCTGAGCCAATCAAAAGATCGGTGCGAAATGAAGTCCCTTGCTTCGTCGTAGGTTATGCCAAACAACCTATAATTGAAGTCACCGAAAAACGCAACCATATCTGCTGCTGCTAAATCAGACTTCTCTTCTTCAGTGCTGATGTTTGTATTCTGGAAAACAAATAAAAAGAACTTTAGCATTAGAAGGGACAAACAACACAAGCTGGAGACCGAAATTGAGAACCAAAAATGTAATGCCAATATAATAAGTTCATACATTGTTATTCTTTAGTGCTTGAGCAGATGTTGAACCACCAGCTGCAAGAGAGAGGGCCCAATGGGAAGCCAGAAGAAGAAATCAGCTAAAATTAGTATGTGGAAAAGCCAAGTGAGCAAGACAAGAAACAGGTACGGCACTATACCATTACCAGCTGCAGCAGTATATACACTTTGTCCTCGGGAGAAGACCATTGACCGATATATGTGATTGAAATCCGCGTTTCTCCGAGTAACTGCCTCCAAGTGAGCAGCCAAGTGACAGTTCACAAAGCACATAATCCGGTCATAAACTCTGATTCTCAAACCCACACCTCCCTGTGATTTTTACCAATGTAGGAACAATAATATGTGAGCAATAAGATCAACAATGATGACTCATCCTTGTCGAAGGTTAGCTATCAAAATCCATTATCATTGAGAGGCTAATTCTGTTATCATCAGAAGACTATTGGATCATACATCAGACTAAATAAGTTGTTATTAGACAGAACCAAGGGCTGTAAAGATAGACCTTGTTGCCAATGGCACGGCCAAAGCCACATGGAACTGCTGCGACATCAAGATCTCCAACATGTGTTCTAATATCCCTCCTCACCCTAACAAGAAAATTATAAGAATGATAAGGTGAAAAAAGACGGTTAATCTGAAAATGTGGTTTTTAACTTTACGCTCTTAAGACAGGTGAAATACTTTAGGTGCTATGTAAGGAAAGGCAAACAACTGCTGCCTCTTCCTACACATGCAATCACTAGAGAAACACAAGATAGTAACACTTCGCCTACCAAAGAGATATTAGCAGTCCCGCCAACTGCCTCGAACCCATTCGTTCGAAAGTATTTCTCTCATCCAGCGCATTTCCAATTGAATCAAGCCACCATTGTCCCACAGCACTTCCCTCAACCCCTACCTACAACAGAAACCCAAATCTGAGCCGACTTATGTAGTCAATATTTTGACATGCTAGTGAAGATATTTTTTCTCAATAACCAGTATTCCTAGGTATCTAATTGTGGAGAGACTCATTTCTCTTAAGTGCAAAGTAAAACATCAATATTTAGTTTATTTTCCGACCTTTTCAGTAGAATATTTTTGTTTAGTTCAAACAAAATCAGTCAGGAGTTACCGTTTCCTTAGCAGTAGACATGGCAAGGAAACCTGCCCCCATATCCACCTCTTGCAACCCAATAGCGACAATGCCAACATCTGAGACAGCAGAACCAATCCAAGACATCAGAGCTCCTCGTGAAGCCCGTCCTTCACCAACATTCCAGGTACCAATCAAGAGTTTAACACTGTCTTGTCGGCCATATGTAATTTCCTTTTGAGACAATTCCGTGCGGATTACACTATCTAGAGGTCCTGGAGATGTCACATACCATCCTCTTACACCACCATGAGTGGCTAAGCTAAAAATGAAACCACCACCTGCAGCTAGCTTTATCACAGGTTCATTGTGTGAAACCCAGCTTGCAATTAGCTTTCCTCCAAGATCCAAGATCTGGATGTAACCACTTGAATAACCCACATATATTCGATCACCAAATGTGCAAAAGCACAGAACAGCTTGCTGATGATGATTCACTTCCCTCAAGCGGTTTCCATTTCCGTCCCACTGAGCAATTAGACCATTCATGCTTCCAGTCCAAATTGATCCATCTGCCGCTATCGCGATAGCTTCTATTTTCCTAGTATCTTCTGCAAATGCTCCTGCACTTCTAGTGGCAGCTCGACGAACAGCTCCTGCAGCTCCCATTATAGCATGGCGCGATCGTTGCAGAAAGCCCTGCGATTTTTCCTTTTTTGATGAGGAGAAGAACTTCACTTTCGCTTCTTCAACTTGCTGACCTTTCGTTTCCTGTAGCTCCACTCGATTCTCGACTTGCCCATCAATATTAAAAACTTTCACAAGCTCTTTATTTTGAGCATTCCTGCACACAGATAGATAGATAGATAGATCTCTCTTGAATGATCAAAACAGAACCACAACAACAAAAAATTCCAACATTTCATAATATGTTGAAGACTAAAGAAAAGCCTACCAAATTGAGAATGACAGGTACTGCACAGCCCACACTTTAGCTCTTACTGTATCAACTAACAAATACTTGACATCTGACGAAGATATGCTGCATGTACCATTGAAAGTAACTTGGCTCCTAAGGTCAATGCCAGATCTCTCCACTAACAATGCAGCCATATGCTTCTCCGCTGGTTTAAGCACAAGAGACTTCTCTAAAGAATCCAAAGTCCATATTTTTATCAAACCGCCATCAGAACATGACCACATATCACCTGAAACAAAACCAAACCAAAATGATTCTGAGAACCCAAACCATCAAAAGCTAGATTAAACCTCAGAAACAGAGCACACACTAACCATATGAGCTTATGACAATGTAATTCACAGGACCACGATGAGCTTGCCATGAGAGTCGTTCCTTGAAAGGCTTCGAATCATCTGCAGTAGACGATTGATCCATTAACCAAGCCCTGATTTTACCATCCTTGTGACCACTCCACACAAGCCTATTGCCATGGTCAATCAACAAACACAAGGTAGGCGAAGTTGTTGCGGATTCATGAAACGGCGCCGTATCCTCATCCCCTCGCCGGGCCTGTCCGCCGACGCCACAACCGACTCCGTATGCTTCCTCCAAGTTCCAAAACCTCACACCATTCTCTTGCCCTGCCCATAGCTGATTTTCCGTACAAGCAATGTTTCTAAGAAACTTACCCGTCTGAGTTTCTCTCAACGGATGTGGCCGGAGCTCAAGACACGGTGGTCGTCCAGGGTTCACCGCCGCACGCACCGGTACTTTGAATACATCAACACCGCCTCCTGCGCCCATGAATTCCGGAAGAGACTCGATATCATCCTGCCGGACCTCGCCGCGATTCGATGTTGGTTTCGACGGAGGCGTAACAAAACCGTAATCCTCTCCGTTACCTCTTTCGCTACTGGTTCTGCCACTGACGACGGTTACTCCTCCTTCACCGGAGAATTCGCCGTCGGAGGAATCGAAATAAACAGGCTCTGAATCCGACGTCACGGATCTTGACCCTTCGTCTAGGCTGTATTTACGGATCGGGTGATGTGGTTTCTGCTCGTATTGCTCGACGTAGGAATGTGTCTTACGCGGTGGTGGATGAGAAGGGACGAGTGATGACAATGCTTCTCGTTCATCTGCGTCTATAACAACCGAATCCATCGAAGAACGGAAGATGAAAGGAATTTCGCCAAAATGAAGAAATTTTGGAATTTGGGACGTACCCAACCATGAAGAAGAAATGTGAAGGAGAGAGATTGTAGGAGATTGTAATGGAGAAGAGAGCACGTAGCAATTAGAGAGAGATGTCTCTGCTTCATCTTCTTTAAATAGCACTTTTGAGTTTGAGACGCATTCAAAAAAGTTTACTTTACATATAATCAATCGACTAAAGGAATCTGTTCTTGGGAACTATTGACACCATTCAAACAGGGCGGTTTTGCAGCTCCGTAATAGAAGAAAGCCATGATTTTTGAGAGCTCATCTGCAGTTCTAATACCTGAAAAAACATATGTTTAAAACTGTTCTAAGTATAGCAAGAAAAGGTTATCGAGATTAGGGTTTCGGGTTTCGATACATTACCTTTCTCACGGTATAGTATCTTTCCGGCTTTTGTGAAGATGATCTCTGGGAAAACAGATACTTGCAGAGCAGAGACCAAATCTGTCTCGACCACGGCATCAACAGCGACACACTGGAAGTAATGACGATACAGGAGGATTAAGCAAAGATTAAAGACATACAGCAAAATCCAATATAATGGTAAAGAGATGTCCATCCAAACTTACTCTTGGTGAAGGAAGTCCACAGTTCCATATTATGTGCACCGCCTTCTCTAGTTCTTCCCTGAATTTTTCGTTTTGTTTTGGCCTGAAGGAAGTAGATACTTGGATCAAAGAGACCACTAGCAGAAAATGTTTTGACAGTAAAATACCGACCTTTTGTAGCGGTTGTGAACAAGAACCATGAGCGGACTTATATCTTTTAACACTGCTTCCTCCCATTCTGCAGTTGTGAGGTCTTTAATCGGGCGTATGTAGTTATCATCATGCCAAACAATCTCCTTCTCACT